TTTTTTTTTTTTGTTCTCTGCAAAAAGAAACAATGCATGACCTATGCATATCAAATTGTTATCAAAAACTATTCAGCAGTTTTTGAGCAATTGTTGAAATTAGCATTGATTTTTCTGCTAATCAGAACTGTCATTCATAAACTCATGTATCAGCGCATTTGTATATGGATAATAATGAACAAACATACGGGTATATAATTCATTATATTGTATTCTATGTAACTGATACATTACATAAAGTAAATTAACTCTAAGTAACTCGACACGCCGAAGGTTTCATGCCTTCATCGCGTGGAGATTCATGGAAACCAGTAAATTGTACTTTATATTGATATATAGCATAAGGTTAATAATTGATTGATCTGTTACAAAAATTAGCGGCTGAAAATTGACATTGTGGTGGTGGTTCAAAAGTACTTTGGTCCTTGGTTCCGCAGTCTTTTCAAAATTAATATATTCAATGAAAATGTCTATAAAAATAATATTAGGTAATCTAATCATTATGTTGCTTTGAGTCATCGCTTTATTGAAATGCAAAAAAAAAAAACAAAAGTAGGTAACTAAAAAAATAAGCTATTGAAAACAATAACATAACATATTCTATCTACTAATTTCATTAACTAAGTCTTATTATTAAAAATAACTTTTCCTCGTAATCTCAGTTTTATTACCACTTATTATTATATGATATCAGTCTATAACCTTCCCTAAGGAAAGTCCCCGTTATCAACAAAAAAAAATACCAGTCAGCTAATTCAAGAGACGTTTAAACAAATTTAAACTTTATTATCCTTATTAGTAAGTATGTTTAGCAAAATTACACAGTACTAAACCATGCGGTACTATCACGCTCAAACATTATGATAGGGAGAGATTCTTCTTAAAGTAACTCATCACGCACCTCAAACTATACTAATCTTCAATGGATTTTCAATCTTACTGTAATAGTATTAAGCTAAAAATCCTTTTAACAGATAGGTGTATGTTTAACTGCTAGACTTTGTACATACCACCAAGTACTACCGTGAACAGATTAGAGTAATCTTAATAATTCGTGCGATAATGTCACGTATTATCACTTACTTAAATATTATAATTGTTTGTTCTTTACAATTCTGACGGTAACCGGTATTGGGTGAATTTTTCTCTGTGTGAAGGCCATAAAACACGTGTCACTTGAGTTTTTGTATTAAATCTGCATATTTTTTTTCTTTTGCCTAATGACTAAACTATTACATAATAATTAAACGATCTGTTTTTATTAGGTCACGAGTTAAACCTGTTTTTTTTTCTTAAGATGAAAAACATCGTCTCCCACGCTTTTGTGCGGCTGTGTACAAAAGCGTACTGTACAAGCTTTAAGATTTTGACAAAAAATGTCTACTGGAAAAATCTAATATTTTTGTCGATGGCTATTTCTAAAACAGTTTCAAGTTCCAAAATCAAGTTAAAATATATATTATCCTGAACATATATCTCTGGACATCATCTCCAACTTAGAACAAGTACTTTAAACGTTATGATATCTTTCTTATATAAATCGTCTATCTCAGATGAAACCGTCAAAATACCGTAAGTTATATAAAGCCGTATTACTCCCACAATCAACTCGGATGTGCACCGTAAGCTTCCTCTAAACTTCTAATGGCCAGTTTCAATAAATCTGTGTCCGTTGATTAGCTTAGTATATCTAGCATATGAAATATCTTAAGCTGTCTGCAGCTGTAGCCAAATGCCATTTAGTGCTTGTCTACATGCAGAATAGAAAACAAAAATATATGGAATTGACGTAAATTTTGACGCTTGTCAGTGTCATCCCCATACATTTAGTTTTCTACTCTCTCTGTAGACTAGCGCTAAAGTGGCGTTTGGCTAAAGACATTGGTCAGTTAGGCTATTCTGTTACTGTCAATTCAAACCTTTGAAGTGAGCATTCTCCTGCATAGTTTTATAGGTTATCGTAACTCTTCGTATAACTATTACTCCATGAGACGCAAAAACCAGATTGAACCGTTCTCATTTTACTCTTCGATGTTTCAAAACATAGTGAGAGGTTTGTACCACTAGCACGTCAAACTATCCCTAACTGAGGACACAATTTATTAGATTTTCTTCATTATTGCAAGCGTAATAGGTTTGAAAATGTATTAAATTAGTGGGGAACTTAGGCTAAACAATAATGTGAAATATAACAGTATCGGTAAATTACCTAATAAGGGCAGTATTAAAATACTTCTGACTGTTTAACGTGGAGTCATCGATAAAGCTCATTTGGTTCCAGGAAAAACATTATGCATAATTCTGAGTATTTTTTGATTCAGGCAAAAAGTTTTTAGGTTCTCAGTATTTCTTAATTTGGATTTATATTACCTTATGTCTATGCAAAAATAGATTCGCCTACTACGTGGTATTAAGTGCTCATCGAGTAAAATGTGGGTGCATTAATCCGCGCCCACGATTTACGGGGAAAAATATGCTAAGTTTATGAACAACAAAAAATATTTAGTACCACGTACTCCCGCGCGGTTTCAGCCGCTCTGCTTGGCCGTAATGAGATGTTTCATATCCTATAGTCTTCCTCGATAAATGGACTATGCGACACATATACACATACATTTTTAAATTGAACACATAGTTCTAGAGATTACCGCATTCAAACAAACAAACCAACTCATCGGTTTTATATAATAATTTAAAAAAGACATAAAATTTTTTGTATCTTTAAAAGAAATAAAAACTGTCATTTAAAAACATCGCAATAAATCTGTAAATTTAAGTTTTTAAAGCAGAAAATTGCTAGTTTTTCCGCATTATACGCTCATGTTCAAGCTATTTGTTAGAGATAACAGATATAATATACATTCATATATACATACTATCAGGTTCTATGTATATTTAATGAGGTGGTATATTGCGGCACACGATTCAATTTATCGCCTTTTATACTCGTGTAGAATTATTCATAGTTTTGTAAAGGATAGACATTATTTGTTTTCTTGTTTACTCTGTTAGTCTAAACACAGACTATACCTATTACTACAAATTACTATAATTTCAATTATTTTTCATACTCGTGTATTATAATGACCTTACCTCTGGATTATATGATTGTTCTCAAAATATTTCCTATAAAAATTGTCTCAAAGGACCAAGTTCAAATACAATTTGGTCCTTCGTCTACCTACACAAAAAACTATTGCCTACAACATGATAAGTCATATTACACTAAATAACCCACCTAACACTACTACGCAACAGTTCATTGACTGCTCTACACAATATTCGCGGTTCACTTCTCGCCTCGAGCACTAAGGAAAACGTATTGATTCACAACTGCGGTTTAAACCTTTTGTGATGTATGTCATGGTCGGCAAGTTAAGAAAAGTTGCCGTTTTGAAACTTAACTTATTGTAAAAACGTTCGTGACATAACTTAAACACAGGGCTACGAATCAAGCTATACAGAACCAATATAAACTGGCCGTCGAATATGCGGTTAAATCATACAAGGTGAGACCACGATAAGTTGGTTTTGTATAACTCGACGTGTAGTTCTGTGTACCTTTTAAAGTGTGACCATCTGACTTATAAAGGTATAAAGCCATTTAATATGAACCATGGCATTTTCAGGTCTGGGGCATGACCTAAGAATGACATCACAATAGTTCCTTGTAGGTCATGGTGATTTAAGATCGTTTATATCTTTTCCGTGAAAAGATGTTGTGGTAATAAAAATATTTATTCCATGACTTATCGAACCTGTATTCATGATTTCATACTAACATTCATACTAGGTATTATTCTGGAGTAGATTCCATGTTTACAATTGATAATCTCTAAAAAGTAGCTAGCAATGAGTAGATACAATGAGTTGGTGATGAAACTCAGTGGCTCTTAGTGGCTATGGTTAATTTCCTAAAACCTAAGCAAGACAAACCCTTTCCTGTAAATCGGTTCAGCCAATCACGACATAATAGCATACTAAAATACATATACACATCATAAGTACAGGTCAAACTGAATTTGAAGTCGGTTAAAAATACAGATAGTTTAAAACTTTGCCTAGTCATACTTAAGTTACTTACTCGTGTAAAGTATGCGTTAAAACAGCAACAACGGACGCACAACGCAGGTGCAAGAGCCAGCTTACAATACCAACACAACTGGTTATTAGGAATATTCCGACGATTATTTTGAAAACACGTTTAACGTTGATTGTTAAAACTAGTGTAATAGCTCATAACGATTAGGTTATAGAAGCAAATTGTACAGTAATACCTGTAAGGCTAGAATTAATTAGAAAGTAGAATTGAGCTAGTTATTTGTGTAATATTCATCTGGATGATGAAAAAACTGTTCTTGTTGCACTGCATTGTGACGTAGGAGAAACATTACGGTTCAAATCATCCCAAAAATCTTATTAGCGTGTGAGTCATCTTGATAAAAAGGATTTTCAGATGGCATCATCTCAGTTATCTGTAATTAATGACGTCTTGTTACGAAATTACATAATTATACGCAATAAGGAAATCAGGTGTTACAGAATAGTCATTATTTAGAAATTATCTGTAAGAAAAATTCTAATCTTTATGCTTTAAATGGAAATTGTACGTCATGTTGGGAGTTACCATCTTAATTATTTGTATGATTTGAAACTCAATTACGTCATGGTATTAAGGTTTATTTTTCTTTGACGACCATTGTTTGTTTTGTGTAATTTTATGGTAATTCTAGTTACTAGTCGTTTGAATTATATTCGAATACTTACTTACTATTGACGTCTTTATGACTAATAAACACAAAATGTAATTAACGTTTAAACGAGCGTTTACGGTTTATAACGTAACAAATTATATCTAATATGAAAGGTTCAAATAGACAACCTGTGTACGTTATACTATAAGGCTTGTCCTAAGTAAGAGATGATCTTGTTATTTACTGTCATCATTGTCATGATAGGTTGTTAAACAAAGGCAGCCATCTTCAAAAGCAATTTTCCATTATTCTTATGCCACTAGTAACTTGCAGTCAAGCCTTTAGAAATAAAGACGATATCGTTGTCTATATCTCGGTGACTGGTCGTAATTTTTAGAACAACTCAAAAATATATTTTTAAATTCCATAATTAACAGTATTTTTCTTTTTATTTCCAGTTCCACTCGGTGACGGACAAGAGGTCACACAACAACGAGTGTGGAGAGAACAGCGTCACAATAGTTACCGAAAAGAAGATAGAAGATGACTCCTCAGACTCATCCAGTGGAGAGAATGTTGAGATTGAAGGTATGTTTGTGTTTATTTTATTACAAACTTTATATTCTGATACATAAGTGTTATAAAAGACAGTTTTTTACTATATTTATTACCTACCAAGGTATTTCAGAACCTAGGTTAACAGCCTGAACCCAATAACCAAAGTGTATAATTGTAGGTCGTATTTTTAAAACCTATAAACTATTTTCTAATAAGCAAGTATACTATATTTCAGTTCGGTATCCACCAATATTTATATAGAATGCTAAGTTATACATAAGAAAACTCATGGAAGATGCTAGAAAACGATTTTATTTATATTGTAGTAAGAGATCGTCAATTGTTAAGCAAATTGCCAGTACGTACATAATATAATATTTATCTATTCAAATTGGTCCTTCGGTACGGATGTACTGTGAAGCACGTAGCTATGTTTAAACCAATAGAATTGAAATTAATTTACTTATTAACATACTCGCTAATTAAAATAATTGAGAAACATTACATAATATGTTTTAATAAGTATTTCTGTGTCAGATTTCCAAAATCTTCACTAATAAGGTTAAAGGACCAATTTCATAAAAAATGTCACAATTTTTTTATGTAAGTATATCTTCAGTATATAAGTTTATCGCATAAAGGCAAATATATGATGATTATAGTGAGACGAATAGACGAACAAATAAAAAGGCACGATGGAGCTCCATGTCTCATAATATAACATGTTTTCATATTGCAAAGTATAAAGGTACCTACATAATTCAAATCTTTGTCCCCAAGAACAGAGGTCAATGAACGATTTTCTCCATTCAATCGATAGGCCTAGGTACCGGTACAAATATTTCACGCACTTTGGAAATATTTTATTAATTGACATATTGCACGATTGGTGTGTAGGTACTATACGGTATATATAACGGTAAATAATATAGACAGTAGGTACCTATGTCTAATATCATATAGGTATATTATTATTTATACGATATTAGACAAATAATGTTGTTCTTCTACATTTTTCTTATTTGATAGAGACTGTGTTGTTTTGATTAACTGTCTGATTTTAATACTTTTGACTAGGTAGTCATTAGACATTCATAGTACTATAATTGTATCTATCAATAATGATTATAACTGATATAACATGATAGGTACTATATATACTTTCGTCTACACATATTGAAAGAAAAATATAGATATGTAATTATAACGTAATTTCCCTGCATAGACCATTAATTTAAGTATCGGATACAAAGGATACAAAGGTGATTATATTAATTTATTACCTTATTAATGAAAGATGTTATTGTAACAATTAACAATTAATATACATTAACCAATCAATCGAATCACAATGTTAATATAATTAGAACACGCGACATTTTAACAATTGAATAACAATGTTGAATTAATTATACATCAATTATGTACTTACTACAATTATTTCATTCAAATTCGTCATAAAGTTATTCATACATTGACTTCAATGTATTTGATTAATTTACTCAAGAAGCTATTTTAATAGTTTTGTAAATATCGTATAAATATGTTTTCTCTGTGTGTTTGTTTAATCATTCTTTATATTATCTCAGTGTGACTAGCACATAATTTAGAAATTACCTAAATATTTAAGTATGTATAAATTAGGTATAGATAAAGAACAACACATTTTGTTAGTTCTTTCATCAGTCAAAAATCTCAGTAGTAGTACGGAGTCTGGAATTGTGTCCGGTATATGGCAATTTTAGGCCCTATTACATGGGACTCATAACATAAATAATGAAAGTGGATGTTATATTGTACAGTGACATTAAGTGCCGTAATGTGCACCTCTGCCTACCACTCCAGGGATAAAACGCGAGACGATATGTTTCATCGATAAAAGAAAAGATTAACCCTACTCAATTTTATCAGTGTTTAGTACATAAGCAATTTCAATACCATTATCTAGCATAAATCCAGATTTTCATGAATGATAACTATTACCAGATCTAGAAATCTAACACACAACATGAAAATCACTAGTCTTGGAAATAACATCACCCTCTATATCAAAAATTAATCTTAAAAACCCGTTACATTACAAGCAAGCACACATTTCATTACAAATTTCAATTTTCAACCTCATCACTTAAGTTATAAGATTGAAAATCAAATAACGCGTCATTACATGGTTAATGAATCAGCGTTGAGATTTTATCAATGATCTTAACTTTTTGTTCAAAGAATGTCATACGTCATAGTTTCAAACTAAATCTAAGATTTCTCATATATTTATTTATGCAATGACTAGGTGTGTGTACTTATATGTATTTACATTAAATGATAACTTGGTCTTTCGTCAGTTTTTCCGCATAATTATTATGACGATAAATTTTATATAGGTGAGTAAGATATGGTTCATGGTTATGACGTCAGATTTTTTGATAATACATATTAAGCACTTTGATGAAGATTTTATGAAGATTGTGGGTAATTCCGGTAGAGAAATATTTAGAGGCTCGTTCTGGCGTGGTTTTCCCGTACCTCCGGAAAGAAAGATAAATATAAAGAAAAGATTTCATTAGAGTATACATTTTTTCGTTTCCTCTTATGAAATTATTCAAAATGTCAACATTTTTAATAAATTTTTGATGATCAATGATTTTATAGTTTATTATGGTCATGGTCACCGAACTCTTATCGACATATTATTTTATTACTATGTAGTATATAAGACAGTTTAGTACGAAAAGTAATTGACATATTTGACCGAGTCAATGATCGACGTATTGTAATAGTACATGCTAAGTGCGTGGAATAGTGCAATATTCCTTGTATACATAAGTATGTGAGAACCTAACCGGGGCTCCGGCTCGACGTACAGGAGAAGGAACGGGGTGGTTTTTAGTTAGTAAAGAGTCTGACACTCCCTCCCGCCTCACCAAGGCGGGAGCAGTCATTCGATGATTTTCCCCCCTTAAAAAAAATACATAAGTAGGTATGTACTTAATTCATATATATTTACCGCGATAGATAAGTAGCAATTTATATATTTCACTTGAATATACCTCTATAGCTGGCAGACAAATAAGTAGACCGACAGACAGATATAACATAACATCACGCCTTTTATCCCCGAAGGGGTCGGCAGAGGTACACATTACAACACTTAACTGTACAATGTTTTCACCCACTTTTCACTATCATGAGTCCCATGTATTGGGGTTGAGCCGATTGCCATATATCGGGCACAATTTCAGACTCCGTGCTACTAGGAAGATTTTTTTAACAATCCCTTTAATACTATGCCCTAACCAATCTAACCCGAGACTCCTTGCCCGGACTTGTGACCACTTGGTCAACGAGGCAGTTGACAACATAATGGCAACTGACGGACAGACAATATAACAAACTGTTATAGTTTGTTATTAATACATAAAACTATATATAGTTGAATGCTAATGCTACCGGCTTGTTATATTATTATACTGTATAATACATTGTCCTTTCATTTATTCCACCTCCTTTATAAGTATTAATTAAATTAATGCTACATTAGATATAAAATTCTGCGGTTTTACGTATTAAACTGAATATTTATACAAACGTCACTTTAATTCATAACAACAGGAAAAAATAAAGTAAACAGTCATCTAACTCCCATAAACTCCAATCTATTGGATTATGCAATTTAAATGTAATAATGAATTATTATTGTATTGAAAAACCATTCATTGTTGATTAATTTCTTGGGATAATACAAGTAAAATACTTAGAATTAAATGTTATTTGTGTCGCTTCATAAAAACCAAGAGGACTATTTGTGAAATACTGACATATGTAATGCCCGCAGCTTCACCCACGTCGCTTAGTTAAAGGAAAACGTTGCTAGTCTTTTGGCCTCTTTACTAGCATAAGACACAAAAATTATGCCACAAAAATGCTCTATTGAAACAAATATATATTCGTAATTATCATTTTAGTATAGATTTTACATTCAAAAAAAATGTTTTAGCTAAAAACAAAGCATCATTAAAGATTTGATTTGATAACTACTAGGATTAGGTGCATAAATCAAGATCAATAAATTATAATCTCAATATAATCTTAAAATTACATGCTACATCGCATGTATGTGTCTGATTTATAATCATTCTTTGTTAAGAAGTAAAACTATGTTAATCTGGGCTTTGACCTTTTGTTTTTAAATGAGGACAAACTGCCAAGGCGTTAGCCCACATCAACCTCTACAAACCAGTATAAACTGACCGTCGAGAGTGCGAAAAGATCATATTAAGTGAGACCAACTTAAATTAGTTTTGCGTCGTTCGATGTGTACAAAAAATATTGCAATTTTGGTCACGTGTCTCAGGTTTTTAGTTTAAAAGTCACGTGTGATTTCACGATCAAAGTCACGTGTGTTTTGGGTTTTGAGTTTTTACGCATGCCCAAACTAGTTGGTTGACCTGGCCTGACTTCAGTCTGCGTTTAATTGCACAAAACTTGTATTCGCTATAAATGATCTCGTCTCTTGTAAAAACTATAATTGTGAAAAATCGTTTAGTAGTTTCTGAGATTATACCATTCAGACACAAAGCTTAACTTTCGACTTATTTATCTAAATAAAATTCGCACGACAGTTACCATTCAATTCGCAACACTATCCAATACTTTTTTAAAATATAAGAATTTGAAATCTAACGGTTATTTTTGAACCACATTCCGTTGCAGTATGGCGGCAAATTGTGTTTTATTGCTGACCCAGTAATGAATAGCGATGCATAGCCAAGTTATAGTTAAGTAATTTTTAGCCTTGACTTGCGGTGTTATAACATTATGTAATGAATACGGTTTTGATTACACGTCATTTTAAACTGCTTTACGTTCTTTTGTGATATTGAAATTCAATAAATGACAAAGAGAATCATATACATGTCAGCATAATGTTTTAGATTAGGCTTAAAATTGAGCAAACGATTGTTTACTATTAAGAAGTATTTATAATAGTGGTAAATTAAGTAGACAATAGACATATAGGTATCGTAATAACC